CGCGAGACGGTGCTCACAAGATGAACAGCTGAAACACACGAACCGCAACTTGCCATGCCAGCAACAACATCTTGGGAAGTTGGTCAAATCTCCCTTCGAACTTGGGGGAAACTCACTGCGCATGCATTACTTACATGTACGAATGCAGGTGCTTCTCGTTTTCTGTTCACACATGCGCATACACATTGAACAGCCACGACGAAGTTGCACAATAGTCTGGTACAATCTTGCACGGTGCACTGGTCAAAAAATGTGTTTGATTGCGAGTGTATGGTACATCTACATTGTACATGTATGTACCTGCCACTGTTGGCTGGCCGGTCGACGGTCTGCCACAATGGACAGTCACATTATCATGGCGGCTAAGTTTTCGGACCCGAACTCTATCCAACAGCATGGACCGCACAAGTTTACAAAAGGTCGTGGCCTTGGACGAACTGTCGAAGAACATTACTTTCTTGCTTTTCACACTGGGATGACCTACTTTTTGAGCAGCAATTTGCAAAACATCATCCAAGTGTTTGGCCATTTTTTTGCATAGCACGCAAACATGTACTGTGTTCCCAGCTCAATGTATACATGTAGCTCTATGGGACAATGTACATGTACACATACAGAACGACATGTACCGGTATTACATGTTCAGCATGTACAAGTCAATCTACAATCACATTCAAACAGGAGTCTGGGGAATAGACAGATCATGCATGATGCATTTTTCAACTGTTATACATATTCAGTGAGATAATTCAGCGTGCATCATGTATAATGCTAATTAGGTGCGCACAAACGATACAGATTCGACCAACTTCCCAAGATGTTGTTACTGGGATGGCTAGTTGTGGTTCGTGCGTTCCAGCTATTTGTCTTGTGAGTGCCCTTTCGCATACCAAGAACACAACAACATCTTGACCAAGACTACAAACTACGGTACTGTGCCATAGTTTACGGTTCCAGTATCCAATCTCACACTGTATACACTGCGAGAACAATAAAAAAAAAATGCTCTGATCACAACATCAGCTACAAACTCATCACAGCTTCATGTAATCTGACTCGGCAGGTGTGTACAGCCATTCCAAATAAAGTGTTTGTGTAAATGGTCACAATGGGCGAATAGTTTTGGAACCGGACAACCTTATATTCACAGGATATCTACATTTTTGGAAATGGAACACTCAAGCACTAGGAAGAACGGCACTGAATCAAAATAGAGTTTAACGCAGTTCTGTTGATCCAAACCCTCTTGAAGAGGTCTTTCCTCTGGTAAACGTGGCAGGTCA